TCGTTCAGAAAAAGCTATAGCATCTGGACTCGAGTGTCATTCCTGTACACGTGTGCATGTTGAATGCTTTTTTGTTACTTGAATTTGTTGTCTTTTTTTGAGTAATAATATGATCTTGTGTCTTGATTGAGAATATATTGTTCTTGTTATAACGGTTTGTGTTTTCCACATGTACTAACTTTTTTCTATTTTTTCACACAGTGATAGAAATGGTATTTATATACATGTATACCCAAAGCTTACATGCAGATTTTCGGTTCCATAGTACAGTGGGCACAAAACTACCATGCGATCTGTTCCTATATATGCTTGTTTTCGGCAACGCTGCCTTCTTTGAAACCAGTATCTATATAAATAAGTTTGCATCCTTGCTTTGCTTCGGGTGTCCTCTAACTTCATGTAGCCAGGCAATACGAGAGTTATGGGTGCACGGATTTCCTTTCAAGCAATTTGCGTTAGCTGATTTAAGCTAAAGGTCGCGAGTCTTTGAACGGTTATCTTTCTCGTTTTTTCCTGCTTCAAGCGATCTCTCCTTTAGTGCCTGGCAATGTATTGGCTTTTTCTGGGATATCTTTATTCGACTTAGTGACTACAACACGACTTTAGAAAAAGGGAGCAGAAAAATAAACTCTATTCACTTTTTTGTTTTGTAGAGTGCCTTAAAGTGCAGACATGGCTATTTTTTGTGAAATATTTATTTTCCTAGGTTTTGCAGTAGAAAGCAGTTGAGTTTGTCATCGGTGTTTCAACTTTTTTTTTACTTCAGTACCCTATGAGAGCACTCTATGTTTTTCAACCATAGCTTACAGCATATCGAGACCTCCCCATTTTTTAATGTTAGCGTGGTTTTCACTGCATGAATGTGAAAATACTTGTGGCACATGTGGTACATAGTTTATTACGAGTCTTTTTTTTTTCAGGAAAGAAATTCAGATACTGTAATCATGTCTGTCCGTTTCCTCCTCTTCAGTCTTCCCTTTGAGTTTGCATAAATGGCAACCCGAAGCACGTTGCGTCGTATTACCGTAACGTTTTGTCCCCAAAGTGGCCAGTGGCGCTTAATATTCTCAAAAGGATGAAAAGAAAGAAAAGTACCACTAACGAGCGATTTGTGTCTTTATGTGCGCCTTATTACTCATTAAGTTCACACAAACATAACAAAGCATAGCTATATACCGCCTATCTAACGCCCTGTGCGACTCAAGCACAACGACGTGTTCAGACAAAGGTCTCTAGCGAGAACTCCGAGCATCGAGAACACCGGACATTCGCTAGAAAGCTTGCAGCCGTCTTAGTCCACGCCCCATCCTCGTCAGGGAGGTTTAGTCGCATCTGCAATTCAAATCGTCCGAGGTGACCCTGCGAACACCCCAGCGGTTCCTAGACCAGTCAGTGACCCATTTGCACCTGCTGTGCCTCGCCTTGAAATTCACGAAAGGAGGGAACCCATGACTAGGCTTGTAACGCGCCTGAAGAGCACACTGGCGTCTTTGTTTAACGTGCTCCAGACGGCAGCATAGTGTTTGGCAAAAGTACCGGGCGGTGGGGGCGGAAGGCTTCGAGTGAGGCGATTAGCCCGGGCCGGGCGAGTCGTTTGTATGCGGCTCGAAGAAAAGAGCTGCGGTTGCCCGTGACACTTGGGTAGATCTAAATGCTCGACTGCTTTTCATGTGTGAATCTTGAAAACTGTTAATCGCTGCCGTAGTCAATAATATGGACGTCCCCTCTATGGTTGTTCGCCTTGAAAACATACTACTAGAGAAACAAAAAAAAAATGGACAAAGAAGGATGCGCGCAGGACGACTGCTAGTGGTCTTCCAGTGTGCAACTTCCTTTGTTACTTGTTTAGTTCTGCTAGTAATATGTATTGATGCCACAACCAACAACCAAATTTTCGCTTTAGCAATAGTTATTCGCAACAAGACTTCACGAATTGCAAGCAGCCGGTATTGTGACACGTTTGCAGGGGATAGCAAGACTTTCCCCAGATTTGAAAGCATTCCATTGAATTATAATTTGCTGGGGATTCTACGTCCGAAAACCATGATATAAATTTGAGGGATACCTTGCCGGAGGTCTAAGGACATTCCGATCACCGCGGGCTTTTAACGCGCACATATATTTAAGTGCGAATGGGCCTCTGGCATTTTTCCTCCATGAAAAGTCTGCCGCCGCTGCCAGATTCGATCCAGCGTCCTACGAGTCTACAGGTGAGCACCGTATAAAACAGACCTAAACGGCAGGTTATACATGCCCTGAGACATGGTGCCTGAGACGCTGAACGGAAGAAAACTATGCAGAGAACAAAGTAGTGGCATTTCACTTGGATATCACTGTTTCCTTCGCTTTAACAACGTACGCACGTGAAATGTGTAAGTAGCACAACTTCGTCAATGGTGCTTTTTGTACAGGTGAACTGAGATAAAATAAGCATTTGCGATTATGCAAGTTGACGAACGTACGTAGCGAATATGGGGTGCAATACGCCTTTTCCAAGCTCTATAAAAGTGTAGGGGTTTGAGAGGCTAGGTATTGCTTTACATTTTAAGAAACAATTAGAACGCTCAACATTGAGACATGTCCTTACAAAATGACGCGTGCTGACATCAATGACATTTTCATTATGATGTGATGCGCTTGTAGATCTTAAGAGGAACTAACACGAAATTCAACAATACACGCGGAAGCACCGTTAGCGAGTTAAAAAAAAATGCAATCAAGTATAAAATGGATAGACAAAAATATACGGGTGCTAAAAAAGTGTTAGAGATCACCGTACCAGTACCTTCAGAATATGAAATTGCAATTTACTTTTCCTCTTTCTTTTTAACTTATGATGACACGGATGGCATGGTTACGCAAAAGCACCCCCCCCCCTTTTTTTTTGTTCCTTCCCGGTAGCGATGGCCAGATTTCGAAAGATTCAGAGTGCAATAACGCCCGTCTATCATTCTTCAAGTGCAAAATATAGGTCCCCAAGGTGATCGAAACGAACCAGGAGCATCGCACTGACCAACTACGCAGTTCCGGAACGTTAGGTCAGGTTTTTTTTGCTTTTTTCAGCTGTCTCATGCGTCACGCTTGCACAGTTGTGCTTGTAATTACAGGCTGCACTTGAACGAAAATAAAAGATCGTTGGTATGATAGACTAAAGTAAATAAAAAAAAGTACATCATTGAGTCTCCTGGTGTGGTTAGCGTGCTGACAAAAGCAGTCGTTAAGGGCTCTCTTCACTACGGGACGCAGTAATCCTATATGCTATCTCGCTCGCACGATCAAGTCGTGCTTCAATCTTGGGCTTTACGCCGGGCGTTTCTTTTGACGACAGAACTGCTTCACCTAAAAAAAAAAAATGGAAGAGCACTTTCAGAAAAAAAAAGAAAAAGAAAACACGCAAGGAAGCTCTCGTAGTGCGCTTTCTGATCTGATCTTTTTTGTGTGTGTTTGTTTTTATTTTTAGGTAGTGGGGCACCTGATTCTTGCACAAATGACAATGAATTCATTCGGCCTCACTCCTTTTGTTTTTTTAATGAAAAGCGTTGGATTAGAAGAGAACTGGGGTTTCAGTGGGACTCCGTGCATCAGCATAAATAACGTCATTTTATAGGGTAACATCAAAAAAGAACAGTAAGCAATTAAAACAGTGTACGATGAAGTAAAATATTACACTCTAATAAAGACGAAACACTACCTAGGACAATAATTGACTTTGAGATAACTTGACAGTTTATGTGAGGCATACCGCATTGTATTTTTGCTTATTGCAAACATTCACTATGTAGTGTAAAGCCACGGATTCCAAATGTTGACTAATTTTACCTAATTCTGACTTGTGTTGGCTACTTTTAAAAACGTTTACGCTTTATTTTTCCTTATTTTGGGTTGTGTTGACCTGCGTCGACTTCCGATGACTTGCGTTAGCTAGTGCTAACCAACTTCAGGCGAAAGTTGGCTGTTCTCTCGTATAACAGCGTGATAATTTATACAGGTGATGTTCTGTTTCTACTATAATGTTACTCACGACAATTCTCTTTAAAGAAATTTCTCAATGTAGGCTTTCTTTGTCCTCGGATTATTTTATCACCATACATTATCCTTTGTTCTTTGCAGGCAACGTGAAGTCAGGTTGCACACGCTATAAAATAAGTAGCCATGGCACCTGTCTCGAAGTTGTAGTGCATGTGAATAATTTTATTCTTGCTCATTGGCTGTGAGCCAAAGTGAAAGGTGATAACGGTTCCTGCTTGCTAGAATAATACCTATGGCAATTATGGTCAGAACCAAACTTCAATCTTCAATAAAGAATACAATAAAAACAAGTCATAATGCTTACTCTTTCAAGCCTAATGCTTACACTTTCAGATTTCGTGTTTAACTATTACAATCGCAAGATGGCGGCGTTTATGTGATTGGCTCGTTTTCACACATATCTGACGCACAATCAGCGTACCTAATGAGCTTGTTTTACACAGTATATTTTACAAGGTCTAATAAGCAATTAGGAGGTCCAGATTTTTTTCGTGTCATTGCTTACCTTTGCATATCTCGTCTGATCTGACGCACGCGTTAGAGTTTACATTCAGTAATGTGGGTGTATAGACATCGCTTTCTTGAAGTGATAGACGTGAAAATAAGGTCGTTTGATAATTTTGAGGCTTAGCACATTTGATTTCTAAACAACAGCAACTAAAAAAATAATTTCAATTGCAATTGGGTACAGACTTTTCGTTTTTTTTAGATTCTGGCTCCAAAACTGAGCGTCTAGGCTGTATATCCGGCCACAGCTGAGATTTATGTTGATCACTTAGCAAATATTTCTTATTTTAAATGAAAGATGATAAAAGTTTTTGTTGGTTGATACGTAAGGAGACTGTTTCACGTGAAACATTTTCGTCGTTATTTTTTTGGTTAGCCATATTTATAGGTACTTTAAAAGTGAATTTTCTCGCACTTTTTAGATTTGCAATTTTTACGTAAACAGGAAATTTTTTTCATTACAGGTGACCCTCTACAGCTCGCCATGAGCCCTCTTCTAGGCGTTTTGATCGGCGCTGTGGCTGCGCTGATTCTCGTAGCGATAATCATCATTATCATCATGAGGATGCGTTCCCACGACAATGACGCAGGTAAAAATAGCACAAAAGCTGCAAATATTTATATTTATGAAGCGTGTGCCAGTACGTTTGCACACGCATGTGTGTATTCTTTTTCAAGTGTTTTTGCCAGAAACGAAACGCAGGTCAAAATATGCGCCTGAGTGACGCAGGGTAGAAATGGTAAACACCCATTCCTTCAAGACAGTATTGACATTAAATAAATGTGTTCGTTGAGCTCCTTCTTTAAGCGTTGTGCGATAATAAAGAAGCAGAACACGCACATTGTTGAGCGCATAGCGTAAATTTAGACATATACTTGTAAGTTCAAAAAACGTTGGTTATTTACGTGGCATTCTTGCGGATTTCGTCATGACGATATTTCAGAACGCAACAAAGGTGAGCATGTGTGGCTATACACTCTATTACAAGTGCCATGTTTATTCGTTCATTCCTATGCACAGAGAAACTATCAAACTCTGAATCTATTCAGTTGTGTATGGGCCTCGATGTATGAGAACGAGCCCGTTGCTCAGTACTAAAACACAACCTGTTCAATTTAGCCATGTTCTTGGGTAACGTCGAACGGTGATGAGTCATCGCAACACCAAAATACACGCGTCGTCTCTTTGAGTTTCGATTTCTCGCCCACTCTCTCTGTCGGTTGTTGAACTGTATCTCTAGATGCTTATGGCATGACAGGGGGATCTAAAGAGAACTGATATAGTATGATGCTTCCAGGCTTTGCATTTGAAGTAGGTTTCAGAAAAAGACTTAGCGCGTTTACTATGAAATCCCGGCAGGCGTAGCTCCATCGTTACCTGAGAGTGACACGGGCAAGAAACTGGATATCTTATGCGTTTCTTTCCTGCAGCTGTCTTGCCGTCCAGTTTCTTATACTTGCCTCATGACACGTCTAAATTTGTTTCAGATTCCAGGGAGCTGAACACTGCCGAAAAGTGAGTAACGAAGTCTCTTCTTGCTCGAACAAAATGAAAAACTAAATTTTTTGCCGGCTAAAGCTGAGCGATCACTGATACCGTCCCGTGCTGATATCTCACGTCTGCATCGTCCGAAACGTCTCTATCGCAGCAACGCAGCGGCGTCTCCTGGTGCAGTCTCGAACAACGTGGGCCGAAACGGCCGAGCAGCGAGCTAGCTGTACTCGTAGTGCCGTCCGTGGAGAGAACGATGACAAAGCATTTGATAAAAAACGGTGAACAGGGTACTGCTTGACTTCGTATCGTGTTAACCTTCTCGCAATCGGTGCGGTGCCACCGGTATTCACAGCTCGTTGGACAGCCGGTTCAGCATACGCAGTCCGAGACAGTACGCGTGGGCCTGATCAGGCTATGTCCTCGCGATGCCTGAGAACTTACGCAGACAACGCAGCGTACTGCGACAAGTGGACAATCACCAGGGCACTCGATCGTGCATAACAGGTTACTCAAAAAGCGATGTCAGTGAACTGAAATGAATGTGTTCGAATGAAACAAGTGTGTTATAAATGTATTTATTTGCCTTTTCAAGAAACGAGTGATGACGCGTGTGTTTGAATAAAGAGGATGACAACGCATATGATGTCTTAATCCAACTGAAGGGGACATTATCGTTGAGAACACTTGAATATAAGTCACACGCTGGTCCTTCTGTTCATCTTGGTAAAAAGCAATGGTATCCAAGAAACACAAAAACAATGACTCATTTATTTTTCCAGTGACTTTTGCTTGCTTTATTTACAGAGTCTAACTTACCTATATGAGCTTTGTGTATCAGTAAGCTTTCTGGAAAGTGTTGTTTTAAATAAAGAAGTGTAAACTAAGGTAAAACACAACAGCTAGTTGCTGCATATGCATCAATAAATTTTCAACCGCTTATAGTGACAAGGACAAGTGAGGGGAGGGCTGATGTTGTTCCCCCACTTGATCTTGACACAATTCGCACTCCAACATTTAGAGATGGAAGCATATTTGTAACTTGACTATGAATCGCACTCGTACATCCTCCGTCCCCCACATACGTATGGGCTGATATTCACAAAATGTTCTTGCGTCAGTGCTCTTCGAAAGAGAAAATTTTAACCAACCGTGATGCCGAACGTGCCATAATCGAAGGTGACCGACCATTGCAAATTAACACTGAGACCGAAAATGTTTTGTGAATTGAGTCCTTGTTGTTTCAGACGCGAGGATGATTGTGTACTGTACATGAACTAATATCCTTTTGTCTGTCTTTTTCCTCTACCTTTTGCGTTTTGTTTCTCGTTCGTTTTGGTTTGGCGCCTTTGTTTCGCAGGTCTCAGACCCTTTTGCGAAAGGGTGTCGTCGTTGAGGACACAAGTGAAGGTGACATCAAGGACCCGGATATCATACCGCCGAAGACAGATTTGGAAGGTAGATTAAAAGAATACTGTAACTAGTTCTAATGCTTCTCACTCTACAGAACAGAGACCACCCTTAATTTGAAATGGTTGTCATTTGTGCAATTACATTACGTACTATGAAAATTATTGGACTTATTTCAATATTGATTCCGAATGAGTTGACATTAAGTACTGCATGTGTATATAACATATCATGTATAACATATATCTGCGAAGTCGGCCATTGTAGTATGAGTGATGTTCTTGTCTCCTAGAATGAGAATATTCGGTTTTCTAAAGTCTTTGTGGACAATTTTTTTACTCGTTTTTTATCGCAGATCCAGAGTGGGTCTTCCGCCAGTTAAATGGATCCAATGGTAGGATACGCCAGGATGGGAGCATTTCCAAAGGCGGCATGATGTACGGCACGTTGCCAAATGTCAAAGTCCAGATGCCGCCTCAGGTGTGTGTTCCGGAGTAGTTCTCTCTCTCTCTCTCTTTTTTTGCCCAGTGAATGTCATTTGCTGCCATTTGTCGTTCGACCCTCTCTCATTATTTGCATTTCCCATACACTTCTCGCACTCAATGTAGATAGTTAAAGAATGACTCCATTGAACACTGGACTCACTAGCCTGAGGAAAACGACTGTTATCTATTTGGGATTTTTCTATTTGTATACAAAACTTTCGCTTTACGAATGACATCGTATTCTCCCATTCTTTTCATATATTTAACGACTCTTTAGCAATTCCGTGACGACATGATGTACCGTGAGCGGCACTATCCGGGCAGTGGAGTTCGTGGTGACCTGGACAGCAGTCCCGGGGAGCGGCAGCGTAGTGGGGGCACGTTCCGGCCCCAAGGCAGCATGCCAGATCCTGATGAGGTGGACCGAATGATCGCCTCCTCCAAAGCTCCCTTGCACACGGCCACATTAATGCGCCGGAGTCCACAGGTACGCAATCTCCGTGCCATTTTACCCTGCTCAATACGAGCTTACAAACTCTAAAAAAGAAAAAGAAAGGCAGAAGTAGTTCAGGGAACGACGGAAGCTTGAAGAGCACAGAGATTCGTGAACATGGAGTGTCGCTGGAGCCAACTTTGCGGCAGGCGATTTTGTCTTCTACATGGATATATTCTTGAAATATTTGAGGACGCTCGTTGAGACGTTGGTTCCAGAGAGATTCCGTGCTCACAAATTTTTCTTCCCGTTGTACAATGTTATTCCAATTTTTCAGCGAGCCATTTCGGCACGTTGAACACTTATCTAGAAAATTTGTCGGTGGTTTCGTGCCTCAACTTATACCTTCTCTCTCTCTTAATGGCAGAGGAGGGATACTCCGGAGAGGGAGCGGCGCACCATATCGACGCCCGTCTGACAGGCGGAGACCACGTTCGGGCAGGCCCCTTACGAAGACGGGGATCAGGTGGAGGAGCGACCTGGACCACCTTTTTGTCCGAACGAAGACGCCTCGACCACCGAGTGCCCGGAAGAAGACGACGAGGAACCCTCTGTGATCGCCGCTGCCGCCGTCTCAAGACGTCGCCACCACCTCCATGAGACCACCGCCAGTGCCTTCTCCAGCCAACAGAGACGCGGTCCCGCTGCCACGTCCGAAAGCTTCGAACTCGGAATGCGCCGACGCCGGGACAGTGCGTCTTCCACGGACTCCTACATGTCCTGGAGTGCGGGTCATCCCACCGTCAGGATACGTGGCTCCTCGCAAGAGCAGCAAACGCTACGTCACCACCGACAGATGTGGCTCGGGGCCACTTTGCCTCGCGGAGGATTATCGCAGCACCAGCAACACCAGCCACTGGAGCAGGAGCGTCGCAACTCCTTCGGCGACGAAGGACCGCGGTACGAAAACACCGCCTTCCTCAGGCAGCTTCAGCTACGAAACATGGCGGATGAACCATCAGCCGCTTCTGGGGCCACGTTGCGTGGAACAAGGCGTAGTTGCCGCGTGTGAGTGTGGCCGTAGTGCTCGAGAAGGCTGGCGGCTTACGCAGTGAAGAAAGGACGTGGAGTCCCTCCCCCCCCCCAAAAAAAAGGGGTGTTTGCCTGCATGTCGACTCTGGATGGCCTTCGGTACTGAGAGACTTTTCTAAATACGAGAGGAAGTAAGATTTACATCCGTGCTTTATTCACTACAATATTGTATAATTCAAAGTTCCAGGCAGCGCTTTTGAAGCCCAGAAGGGCCCTCTAGCCAGCGCAAAGGCATCAATAAAGAAATTCCGATTGTGTGCTGGACAGAAAGTGAGACAAAGCAATGCGTATGTTGAGACACAAGTGGAGCTGTTTGGACGATTAATCCTATGTAAGTAGTGCAAGTGACTTTCCCGCTGCGTAAGCCACCAGCTTCAACGAGTTCTCCGCGATTACATGCGGAATTTTACAGTGTAATAGCGCACGAGGAACCAGCGTTTGCAAGTACCTAAACTGAACACTTGTAGAAAGGTGGCTTCGTTGTATTTCACATAGTTTTTTCCCACTGTATAAAGAAAATAATGAAACATGCCAGCGTGGCAATCATGGTATGCCATACGCTAACTGCATACTTGGCTGTGCCAAGTGCTTGAAAATTTTTATGGGTGATTGTGCACGTGCAAGGATGTTAAGCGCTCGTTTGGGGCAGCTGCTGAATATTTGAATGACTATCCTAGTCGCACTCGTTAAAAATGTACAAGTACATATGTCGAAGATGATACTTTTCCAGCTTGATGTTTCTGGTTTGCTTGATGTCGGTTTGAGATTCAGTACTATAAATACGGTAATGTTCCTCGGGGATGCCACGTCGTCTGACCAGGTAAAGTGGAGAATGATAATTTCAAGATTTTTTAGGTGAAATTCTGTGTTGAGTACCACATTTTCTTTGACTTAGTGAATTGCAAGCTGGACCAAGCTTTTGTTAATCTTCATTATTTCCCCAACTTACGTAGTTATGCACTTGTGCATTCTTTTTTTCTTCCGAATCGTGCGGTCGCCTTGGCGCGGGAAAGGGTCGCATAAGGATAAATATTGTTACAAGGCATGCCAAAAGTATAATGAAATTGTAGGAAAGTGGTATACTACGGATAAAAAAAAACGTGCGTGAGAAACAGAACTACAGTTCTAAACGGGTTTCATGTGCATAGATGAAAGCAGTGATGATGGGTTGGGCGCAACTTGAACAAGTGAAGAAACACAGACTACGAAACTTGAGAATTTAGACGTAGAAATGATAAGCTTCTTTTTTTGCGAAATGATTCCCTTAAAGACAAATAATTTTTGTCTAACATCAACTGAAGCCAGTTTGAGAAAGTTGTTACTTGCAATTATGTGTACATATGTGTAACTCACGGGCTTCCTATTTGATTGGTCAAACTGACGATACTCGTTTTTTTTTTTTCACTTGAGCAGTGGCTTGGAGCATCTGCAGGAAATTTCAAAATGTGAGTCCATTACCTCGTTACGTAAAGTAAGAGTAAATTGATATTGTCAATTGAATCTCTTGGCAATACCATTTGCTTTTCTGTGAGGCCGCATCCTGTCATAGCGGCAGAGGGATGAGGAAGGCACGGGAGGCCTGACGTGTTTCGTGTGGCTTTTTTTTATTACCCCATTACTACTTATTTAAATACAGCAGGCATCTTTTTTTTTTATCCCAAGCTCAGAAAATCGAAAACGTTTGCAGAGTGGTGCTTGAACATGCTGTTGCACTGTAGCGCTGCGACGCTGCGGGCCATGTAGCTCATACTCCGTACTTGCGCAGCCGGTTTCGAATATCGCAGTCTCCAAAAAGGGTCGCCCGGTAGACGTCCGAAACGCTGTTACAACTGCTGCGCTACAAAGTTATAGACGCTGTTGTTGCGGGTTATAAGTGAACGTTAATCTTACCTGCTCTAGAAGACTGTTGCGTAGTCGTGTGACTGCTCTGTTTCTTTTTGTTTTTTGGTTTTTTTGGCGCACTACTAATGCTTATTTATATTAAAAAACTTCGATTGCAAGTATGCTCTTGTACACGTCGGGTGGAAATATTTGAACGTTGCCACCACGACACATCACACCTGTTTAGGCTCAAATTGATTCTTCAATAGAACACCATTTGTGGGCATCTGTAGCGTACCTAGAAGTATACTGTGCCCAAACGATATTACAAACGCACCACTTGCAGCGTTATAGACCATATCTAAGGTGTAATAATTTTTCTAAAGGATCTAGGCTCTTAAAGCAGCGCTCGGTGGTCCCAAGTGCCTTAGAAGCCCTCAAGAGACTATAATTGTTACATTGTGTTTTTTCATAAACTTATTACGCATGCCTGTAAAAAGTAAATATAAAAATATTATATTTAGCAAATTCAACTGTCTTTACATGTCTGTTTACTTACTACTATTTGTCTTGCTTGATTGAAAGCTTTCGCTATGAGGTAATGTGATTTTACTACTCTAAGTATTTTGCTAAAAATCTTGCAACACGTTTAGCTGATTTATAGTAATGAGTATTGTAGGCATTCCTACAGTCACAATATCACTTCCCGTGCAAGCGCAAGATATCAAATTTGGCAAACTTTGATTATGATTAGACTCGCTTAGGCTAACTAAACGGTATGATTATTCTAACTGAATTGTTAAAATAGGAAGCATCAAGATACCATTATGTGCACACTGAACATCGATGTACAGCTTAAAAAATACTACTGTTGGAACTGCGAAGTCTAACGGCTTAGGATTTTTTAAATTTGTGAATATACAGGTAAAATTAACGTCACATGGCTCTAAATTAGGCATATTACCAACCTTTAAACATTTTGTTTCGATAAAAAAAATACCACACGCGTGAAGTGTAGTGGCCACTGAATTAAATATTCACAACAAGGAATCTCCTCTAAAAAGAAATTACGGTGACCTTCAAAAAACGCATGACTTCACCACTTTTAGTAAATTTACGCTTTATGGCAGTCTTTTATTCTCAAAGTTGAAGGAAGTCTGTAGGTTCTATCAGATAAAAGAAGGACACTCTTCAACGGTCACTGATTACGACAATCGGTAAATAAATTGGAGCACAAGAGTGGAGTCAGACGCTACATTTCTTTGAACAGAAATGAGCTTGTGCAAGCTGCCATTATTATCACTATTCTTTAATCTAGGTGTTTTCTAAACACAAACAAGAACTTGGAATGCACCGAAAGATACATCCGGAGTTTAATTTTATTGAAATAGTATACATCCTCAGCGATGAACTAGTATTTCTTTTTGTTTTTTTTTAGGATAATGGAGTTTAAATCCTGTTGCGTATTACGTGTGTTCTGGCAAATGGTATCTATTTTACGCATTAACAACTCTTCCTACGAATGTCAACACAAGTACTGAATATATGCTCATTGTTTTGATGTGGTGTTAGCACTTTCTTTTTGTGTGTATGTGAGCGGCTGACATATTCATGTTGAGAATGCACGCTTGTAAAACGGACCCCCAATAACCCAAGCAGCCTATCGCAGCACACAATACACTTTTATTATTGGGGATATGACACTGTTTCCGTCTGAACTAGATTACTGCGTCTTAAAACGATTGGACTTGAGTGTATAGCTAAATATTGAAGAACAAAAAATAAAGGCGCAGAAGCTTCAGAACCCTGTACATTTCCTACCAACGGTTCGTCAAAACTGTTGGTGAACTCGAGAATACCATAGATACCAGCCTATCTCTTTCTCATTTTACAGCATGGCTAGAGAAGCGTTTGTAGCAAAATTTTAAAATGCCGATCTTAAATGATGTTCTCTTTTGCTCTAGCTTGCAGCAATACACAGCAGGAAGTGGTTCAATACAATTCTCACCATGCTCCAGCTCTTAACGCTCTTATCTACAGTATAAAACTGATTGATTGATATGTGGGGTTTAACGTCCCAAAACCACTATATGATTATGAGAGACGCCGTAGTGGAGGGCTCCGGAAATTTAGACCACCTGGGGTTCTTTAACGTGCACCCAAATCTGAGCACACGGGCCTACAACATTTCCGCCTCCATCGGAAATGCAGCCGCCGCAGCCGGGATTCGAACCCGCGCCCTGCGGGTCAGCAGCCGAGTACCTTAGCCACTAGACCACCGCGGCGGGGCACAGTATAAAACTGAAACATTCCTATTTCCACTTTACGCAAGTTTATTGTCAGATGTAAAAAAAAAAAAAATAAAGGGCAGTCTGCGTCGCACTATAACGTTCGGATTATTCATAGACATTAATCCGAGATATCTAGCTCCTCCCGAATGCGAATGATAAAGTGCAGATTATGCGTTTCCATAGAAAGGGCTATATAATCCTTCAAATAACGAGCATTATATAGAGGAGACATGACACAGTATTTTTGTAACACGCACTTGATCGCACGAAACACGACGTCGGCGATTAGCTGTAGCTAACATTATCGAACGAACAGGAGTCGGGCTCCCCTGCAAGATGCTTGCGCTTAAAAAGAAGCTCCTTCCTTGACCTCGTGACACGCTTTTGCTTTATCAAGGCCGAAACAGCGCTGGCTTTCGTGGTGGTCGCATGTTGTCGCGACAAAGGCGACGACGATGTAGACGGGGCTGCGGACAGGCAGCCATGCGTAACGCGCGTGGCAGAATGATCACTAATGCGTCGCGATACGTGCATGGCCATTGTGCCTTTTGTAAGCGCGGTCGTACTCGAGGAGGCGGCCTTCTATTTGGGATCGCATCGTTTATGGCTGCAGGACATTCACCGACCGTCCTCGTGTTCGCCTTCCGCTCCTCCGGTCATTGCAATGCGCCAGCATCCTTTCTTGCTTGGAATCTTATTGTGGCTTCGAACGTATAGTCGATGCTTCGACCAGCCGTCTGGCGTTTTTACGGTCCCCGCCGCTGCAGACGCGCGCCGCCTGTTTTGTCGCACATCGTGGCGCTCTTTCATACAGCAAGCGCCAACTCCCCCCCCCCCCCCCCCCGCGCGAAAGCAATCTTTTCTTGCACGGCCGCTTCGCGCTCTCACATTGCTACACTAATCGTATTCCG